CCTCCAGACCCGAGTACTGGCTCTCGTCGCTCTCCTCGCCATCCGAGTCGTCGTCCTGTCCGTCCACTGGCCCCGCCCCCAACAGCTGCGCACACAAAGAGTCAGATGCCCTCCCACGAACCAGCCCAGTGTGTGTATATAGTGTGTATATGTGTGTATGTGTATAGTGCGTGTATGTGTGTGTATAGTGTATGTGTATATGTGTGTATAGTGTGTGTGTATGTGTGTGTGTATATGTGCGTGTGTGTATGTGTGTATATGTGTGTATAGTGTATGTATGTGTATATGTGTGTATAGTGCGTGTGAGTATGTGTGTGTGTATGTGTGTGTATATGTGCGTGTGTATATGTGCGTGTGTGTGTATATGTGTGTATAGTGTATGTGTGTATGTGTGTATGTGTGTATATGTGTGTGTGTATATGTGGTATGTGTATGTGTATATGTATGTGTATATGTGTGTATAGTGTATGTGTGTATGTATGTGTATATGTGTGTATATGTGCGTGTGTGTATGTGCGTGTGTGTGTATATGTGTGTATAGTGTATGTGTGTATGTATGTGTATATGTGTGTATATGTGCGTGTGTGTATGTGCGTGTGTGTGTATATGTGTGTATAGTGTATGTGTGTATGTATGTGTATATGTGTGTATATGTGCGTGTGTGTATGTGCGTGTGTGTGTATATGTGTGTATAGTGTATGTGTGTATGTATGTGTATATGTGTGTATAGTGCGTGTGTGTATGTGTATATGTGTGTATAGTGCGTGTGTGTATGTGTATGTGTGTGTGTGTGTCTGATTCTGTCTCAGTTAAATTAAACTTTTTTCTTTCAGACTCTGAGTTAAACTTTACAGTTTTATTTTCTCTTTGTTTAAATCTTTCTCTTTAACCCAAACCGCCTCATGTCAGAACGAGACAAACACAAATGTCACAGCGGATTAAACCAGCCCGAGACCCGGTCCAGACCCAGTTCCAGACCCGGTTCCAGACCCAGCCCGGGACTCGGTTCGGGACTCGGTTCGGGAGGTTTATTCGGTTTATTCGGTTGTTTTGGTTCAGTTTAAAGCTCCGGTGTGTGTTAGCCTGATGCTAATGCTACCTCCGGAGCGGCCCCCGGAGCTGCGCGCTGCTCTGGCCGCTCAGGACTCACCTCCTGCGGCTCGGGTTCGGGCTCCGGGCGCCTCTTGGGGTTTCTGGGTCTGGGTCTGGGTCCGGATCCGGATCCTGAGCTCGGTTCAGACGCGCTCGTGCCGCTCGTGGTCGCCGCCATGATCCCACGTGTTTACGCAGGGGTCAGAGGTGAGTCACGTGACTCTGCAGTACCGCGTGCGTCCCGCGGGGGGGCGCATGCGCAGCAGAACAGAGAAGAGGAAGAAGAGCCGTGCGCGTGCCCGGGGCGCGAGATCAGCGCGTGCGTTTCTCAAACAAGAAAAAAACCAAAAAAAACACCTTCATCTGTTCATCTCCTTCACCCTCCTCTTCCTCTTCTTCTTCTTCTGTCCTGATGAAGACTCCGCGGCGCGAGGACTGCGTCTACACGAGCTGCTACTGGTGAGTACTAGAGTACTACAGAGTACTACACACTACTACAGACTACTACAGAGTATTACAGAGTACTACAGACTACTGCAGTACAAACACTACTGCTGTCATGTACTGATTGTTAGTACTTCTCAGTACTACACGACCACAGACTGGACTGACAAGGTTGAGGTCACCAGGTCCGGTCCTGACCTGGTTCTGTTTTGTTTTTTGTTTGGTCCTGACCTGGTTCTGTTGGTTCTGTTTTGTTTTCTGTTTGGTCCTGACCTGGTTCTGACCTGGTTCTGACCTGGTTCTGTTGGTTCTGTTCGCAGTGAGGAGAACGTGTGGCAGCTTTGTTCTTGGTTCCGTTCAGAGGCCGAGGTCCAACTCCAGGAGCTGTTTGTGCTTTTCATCTCCAACCACCAGCGCAAGGTCCGAATACAAATACTACAAATACTACTACAGTACTACATATACAACAAATACTAATACAGTACTACATATACAACAAATACTACTACAAATACTACCTGCTGTAAATGCCCCAGTTTATCTGTTCATTCAGTGTTTATTTAGTTCAGGTGTTCAGAGGCTCAGGGCTCCTTAAGAACACCACAAGAACTCTGTCACCACAAGAACTCTGTCACCACAAGTAACTCTGTCACCACAAGAACTCTGTCACCACAAGAACTCTGTCACCACAAGAACTCTGTCACCGCAGTAACTCTGTCACCAGTAACTCTGTCACCGAGTAAGTAACTCTGTCACCGCAGTAACTCTGTCACCACAAGAACTCTGTCACCGCAGTAACTCTGTCACCGCAGTAACTCTGTCACCGCAGTAACTCTGTCACCACAAGAACTCTGTCACCACAAGAACTCTGTCACCACAAGAACTCTGTCACCACAAGAACTCTGTCACCTCTGTCACCGCAGTAACTCTGTCACCGCAGTAACTCTGTCACCACAAGAACTCTGTCACCGCAGTAACTCTGTCACCACAAGAACTCTGTCACCACAAGAACTCTGTCACCGCAGTAACTCTGTCACCGCAGTACACCGCAGTACTCTGTCACCGCAGTACATCAGCCATAAATGACTCCCAGTACTACAGATACTGCTTTTATAGAACTTACACTGGTCCGGTTCTGCTTCTGTTCAGGTTCCATTGTGGAAGCAGAAATCGGGTCGAGGAGATCTCCCTGTGGTTTGGGTGAGACTTCATCTTCTTTCACTCAGACCTGGTTTAGTCCTGGTTTAGTCCTGGTTCTGACCCTGTTTTGCTCCAGGACTACCACGTGGTCCTGCTCTGGTCTAGATCAGGTCTGGAGCCTCTGGTCTTTGATCTGGACTCGGTTCTGGACTTTCCCTGTTCTCTTCAGGACTACGTCACCCAGGCCCTGAGATCGGACCAGGACCTACACCCACAGTACCACAGGTGAGAACTACTGCAACTACTGCAACTACTGCAACTACTGCTACTACTACTACTACTACTACTACTACTACTACTACTACTACTACTACTACTACTACTACAAATACATTTACCACTACAAATACAGCTACAGTCTGTGTGTCTGGAGGAGACTCGGGGTCACATTTCTCTGTGGGGACAATAACACTGAGCTTAAACCTGAGTCTCTGGACTCTGGGCTGGAGGTTGGTTCTAACCTTGATCCTGGTGATCCGGGTCGTACCCTCCGACCTGTTCTGGTCTTGGTTCTGGTCTGGTCTAACCTCGGTTCTGGTTCTGTTCAGGTTGTTCCGGGTCGTTCCTTCACAGTTGTTCCTGGAGAAGTTCTCGTCAGATCGATCTCACATGAAGAAACCTGACGGAACCTGGAGCATGCCCCCCCCCAGCTACCCCCCCATCCAGACACCAGGTACTACGAGTACTACAAGTACTGAGAGTACTATGAGTACTACAAGTACTATGTAAAATCTTTCAGTCGTCCAGGTAGAATCCACAGCAAAAGGAGGAATTTTATTTGTCACTGGACTGAAGTTTATTTGGTGAAACCCTGAGCTCGTCCAAAGCTTCAGTTCTGTCAGACGCTCGTGACTCTTCATCAGGACTAAACCAACTCCACAACTGAAGCTCTGATCAAAACTGAAGAAGCTGCAGCTGGACGAGCTCAGGATTCCACCAAATTAACTTTTCCTTTCTCCTTTTGCCACTACAAGTACAAGTACAAGTAAAGTACAAGTACTACCACTACTACCCCAACCCTCCCATACAGACCCAGATACAAATACAACAACAAATACTACATACAACACATCCAGACAGAAAGTACTGGGAATACTACTACTACTACCACTACTGCAGTATTTGTACATGAAGTACTTCCTGATGAATTGTTTGTTTCAGAGACGAGCACAAACCTGGAGCTGTTCATCCAGATGAAGCAGGACCAGGATCTGGGCCGAGTCCACAGCCTCCAGGACTTTAAGACCCGCTTCGGCCTGGACCCGGACCGGTTCTGACCCGCTTCGGCCTGGACGTGGACCTGCACTGGGTTTTATCTGGACTTGTGATGACATTTATTTTTATTAAAATATTCAAATCCTGGTTTCACTTTTGACACTGGAATAAAAACAATCTACTGGAATTTACCTGTCCACAGCACCTGCCCACAGCACCTGTCCACCTCACACCTGCCCACAGCACCTGCCCACCTCACACCTGTCCACCTGACACCTGTCCACCTGTCGCCCCTGTTTGTAAGTTTCTGTCCAAACTGTGAGGAGGAAAAAAGAACCTAAGAACATAAACGATCAGAGACCAAATGAACCTCGGTGACCCGACGTAAAAGTGTTGAAATTTCACACTTAGTTCAGTTTATTTATTTTATTTCAAAAAACAAAAACTCTACAAAGGTTCGGTCCAGTCAACCAATCAGAGCGGAGCGTTTCTCTGAGGAGCCAATCACAGCGCAGCAGCGCAATGACATCATAAAAGTCTCAAATAAAAAAGTGGTTTTAAATAAATCAAAGTTAAAGACGCCCGCTTTAAATCAACTTTAAAATGTTTGTGGTTCTGTCTGGGTTTGGTGGACTCCATTTTCCTGTGTCTTTCTTCAGTCCGGTCCTGGTCCGGTCCTGGTCCGGTCCTGGTCCGGTCCTGGTCCGGTCCTGGTCCGGTCCTGGTCCGGTCCGGTCTCAGATGGACTCGATCTGGCGCCGGACCTTCTCTGACGCCAGGCGGTCGAGCGCTCTCTGACGCGTGACCACCACAACCCCGAAGAGCGCCGTCAGAGACAACATGGCCGCCTCGAAGTGCCAGAAACTCTGCTCCTCCAACTGAGAAGATCTGCAACTGAAGAACAGGAGAACCGGGTCAGAACCAGGGACAGAACCACGTTCAGACCCAAAGAAAATAATGGGAATGGGACGAGAGAGAGAACAGTCTCTAAAGAAGCACAAAACCAGGACTGAACCAGGACTAAACCAGGTCTATCCCTGCTTCTGTTGTGTGGTTGGTAGCGGGGGTTGTGTAGTTGTGTAGTTGTGTGGTTGCGGTTGTTGCGGTGGTTATGGTGGTTGCCGTGGTTACGGTGGTTGTGTGGTTGCAGAGGTTGTGTGGTTGCCATGGTTACTGTGGTTGCGGTGGTTGCCGTGGTTACCTCTTGAGTTCGTCTTTGTTGGATTTGGTGCAGTTCACTCGTTCGTAGAATCCGGTCTGAGCACAAACGGGCCACGACCTCTGAACACACAACAAGAAAGTCACTGGACCAGAACCGGACCAGAACCGGACCAGAACCAGTCTGCAGCTCCAACCCAGGTCTGAGCAGACACATGTTGGAGCTCAGTACAAACACTCTACTGAGTACTGTACTCGAGTAAATGTTTGGAGTAATTATACTTTTGTCACTAGAATTCTAACAGTGTTCTGGTCCTGTTCTGGTCCTGTTCTGGTCCTGTTCTGGTCCTGTTCTGGTCCTGTTCTGGTCCTGTTCTGGTCCTGGTCTGGTCCTGGTCTGATCTAAAATTCTTCTAAACTTGTGTTTCAAAGTGACTCTGAGAAGAACTTTGACCTTTTCCTTAAAGGTGTAGTGTGTAACCTTCCTCATCTCCATGAGGTCGTTCATGTGTCTAGAACGTTCCACAGACTCATACTCTTCTACTCCTCTACTCTTTACTTGTACTGCGAGTACATCAGGCATGTAACTGTATTTTTACTAGTCCAGATCTTCAGCCCTCACTCCACCTCTGCACCCGGGTCTAAACCGGGTCTAAACCAGGTCTAAACCGGGTCTAAACCAGGTCTAAACCGGGTCTAAACCAGGTCTAAACCAGGTCTAAACCAGGTCTAAACCAGGACTAAACCAGGTCTAAACCAGGTCTAAACCAGGTCTAAACCAGGACTAAACCAGGACTAAACCAGGACTAAACCAGGACTAAGCTGCGCCCGGGTCATTTATGACATTAGAATATAAATATAAACATAAATATAAATATGTGGCGTGCGTCTGACCGTCTCGAAGGCGTTGCACTGGACACACGCCGTGGTCACTGTAAACTCCTCCAGCTGCCAGCAGGGGGCGGCCACAGGTTTCACTGCTGACAGAGAGGTCAGAGGTCAAAGATCACACACACCACAGTCCCATCATGCACTGCGGCTCGGCTCACCTGTCGACTTCTCCTCGCCGAGCAGCGCCGACCCGAACACTCTGCAAAACACCAGAGATCCACATCAGACCGGTTCTGATCCACGTCCAGACCTGATGAGACCCCCTGGAGACCGGTTAAGATCCCGTACAGACCTGAGTGAGACCCCCTGGAGACCGGTTAAGATCCCGTACAGACCTGAGTGAGACCCCCTGTAGACCGGTTAAGATCCCGTACAGACCTGAGTGAGACCCCCATAAACCGGTTAAGATCCCGTACAGACCTGAGTGAGACCCCCCTGTAGACCGGTTAAGATCCCGTACAAACCTGAGTGAGACCCTCGTAGACCGGTTAAGATCCTGTACAGACCTGAGTGAGACCCCCTGTAGACCGGTTAAGATCCTGTACAGACCTGAGTGAGACCCCCATAAACCGGTTAAGATCCCGTACAGACCTGAGTGAGACCCCCTGTAGACCGGTTAAGATCCTGTACAGACCTGAGTGAGACCCCCATAAACCGGTTAAGATCCTGTACAGACCTGAGTGAGACCCCCTGTAGACCGGTTAAGATCCTGTACAGACCTGAGTGAGACCCCCATAAACCGGTTAAGATCCCGTACAGACCTGAGTGAGACCCCATGTAGACCGGTTAAGATCCCGTACAGACCTGAGTGAGACCCTCGTAGACCGGTTAAGATCCCGTACAGACCTGAGTGAGACCCCCTGTAGACCGGTTAAGATCCCGTACAGACCTGAGTGAGACCCCCCCTGTAGACCGGTTAAGATCCTGTACAGACCTGAGTGAGACCCCCTGTAGACCGGTTAAGATCCTGTACAGACCTGAGTGAGACCCCCCTGTAGACCGGTTAAAGATCCTGTACAGACCTGAGTGAGACCCCTGTAGACCGGTTAAGATCCCGTACAGACCTGAGTGAGACCCCCATAAACCGGTTAAGATCCCGTACAGACCTGAGTGAGACCCCCTGTAGACCGGTTAAGATCCCGTACAGACCTGAGTGAGACCCCCTGTAGACCGGTTAAGATCCCGTACAGACCTGAGTGAGACCCCCCTGTAGACCGGTTAAGATCCCGTACAGACCTGAGTGAGACCCCCTGTAGACCGGTTAAGATCCCGTACAGACCTGAGTGAGACCCCCCTGTAGACCGGTTAAGATCCCGTACAGACCTGAGTGAGACCCCCTGTAGACCGGTTAAGATCCCGTACAGACCTGAGTGAGACCCCCTGTAGACCGGTTAAGATCCCGTACAGACCTGAGTGAGACCCCCTGTAGACCGGTTAAGATCCCGTACAGACCTGAGTGAGACCAGTCCCCAGAAGAGCGCGTGCAGGACGAGGATCCGC